TATTCTTCTTTTTCCATCTAAATATATTTTTTTAATTATTTAAAAAATCATATTCATCTATCGGCTATCAGATATTGTTTTCTTTAAACTTTTCGTTCCCGACTTTCCCTCAAAGTTTTTAAAACATAAAAGAGGTTTCCACACTAATGTTTTGTTCCTCTCTTCAATTAATGTAAGGTCTCATAATTCACCTTCTTCGTAGCTGATACTCGCTAGCACGTGTTTCTTCCTCTAATCAATGTGGGTTCTCACAATTATGTTATTTTAATAGTTAAAATATCCTAAAACTCAAATATAAAATATTCACAAGTTACAACACATCATTACCATTGATTATAAATGTTAAATATTCTTAATTTTTATAATAATCTTTAAAATAGTGTAAGATTAGGTTGAGTTGTAACCCTATTTTCGAGTTAGTCGTGCTGGCTAAGTTAACCTAACTAGAAAAATGTCAACTAACCAATCAACCTAAATCTTTGATTTTCCAAAAATTTTGTGGTTGAGTAATTTGAATTAGTCTAGTTGTTATTTTAATAAATTATATGCCTTATAATTTATTGTTAAGTTTAAAAAATATAATTATATATACATATATTTATTTTATTTATATTTAATATCATAATTATTCTTTTTAAATAAACTCTAAAAAGTAAAATAAAATTTCACTATTTGGAAACTAATTTTTTAAAATTAAATATTTGAAAATATATAAATAGATATTATAGGAACTAAATAATGAGTTTAATTCGAATTAAAAATAATAATAAAGAAATGAAAAAGGAGAAAAAAAAAAGCAGTTTGGACGGTGAAAGGGATTAAATTAAAAGACAAATACTTAATTAAAGAGATAAAAATCAGAGAGAGATTCGGCGAGATCTCCGGGGGGGAATGAGATTAGGTTTAAATTAATTTCAGCCACATGATTTATTATTCAAACCTCTCATCATGCAATCACCGCCGTCCTAAAAGATTTCCGTATCCCACCCACTACGCTATGCTAGTTAATGATGATTAGTATGCTTTATTTAATTGATTACTGACTTTGATCTATTTTATCTATTTTCTTTTAGACCTTTTAGCGTACATTCAACCCAAAAACTCAAACTAACCTAATCCTAACATGGGTTGAATTGGATTTCGGATTTGGGTTGAGTTCATTCTTTTAAACTCATCTAGTTAGAGTTCCAAAAGAAAATGATTGAATCAACTCGAAAACATATAAAAAAAAGAAACTAAACGATTGAATGAAGCCTGAAGTCGAGCTCAACACTTTGCACGTCTGTCTGTGTTTGTCATAGTCTCTCTCTCTCTCTCTCTCTGCAATGTTGTACACCCCTGACACCGTTCGCCATTTGACCGTTAGTCCGAGACTTTGTCTCTCGGACTCTCAAGTATAAAATGAAATGTCTCTCGGACCATTCTCCTTCTCATTGTACTTTTCGCGTCAAGTCGTCGGCTTCTCTTTGTCTCCCTCACTCTCAGTCTCTTAGTCTCTTTCTCGTTTTTGACACTCGGCGTGCCGCAATGACCCCTAGTCTTCGCCTCTCCTTCTCATTCTCGCTCTAGCTTTAGATTTATAATGCATGGAAGCCATCATTGACTGCATAACCTGAATTAAGAAGAAGAAGCCTAGTAAATCAACGTGACATTATTTTACAAGATTAGAGAAGAACAATAAGAATTGCAAGTGAAACTATTCGGGTAAGGACTATGCTTTTGATTACTAATTCTTGTGGAAATAGCATTTTATGTAAACGCTAAACAAAATTAATGTAGAAAGTAGTCATACAAGATGGAAGACAAAGGACTAACTACTCTAAGTTTTCAACTTTCATTAGATTGAAAAGCTGATAGTAATATTGTTAGTTTATTATTATTTAGTCAAACATGTAGAGGAGCATGTGCCAAGATGATAATTATAGATGAATCGTCATTTAAATTTGTAGAGGATGAGAGTTCCAAATTGTTTTGTAGTATTACATATACTAAGTTTGATCATCGGTTAGTAGTAATCATTTATAGAGATATATTTAACTTTGTCAGTAAGAAAAAAAAAAAAAAAAAAGCAGTTACAATACTTTTTAGTCATTCATTCCAAGGGTTAATCTTACCATTGAACGTGGATTTCTTTGCAAAATATTAATTACATTGTAATCACTACACACCATATTGATTCATAAATGAAATTTGTATAAACGAATTCTTAACTTTTGCCAAGTTGTTAATCATAAGGAGAGACTATTGGTATGATTATTGAAAGTTGTTTATTAGAATGAGGGATCGATAAAGTTTTCTCTATCACGGTTGATAATGCAAGTTTCAATCATATAGTTATTTTTGTAGATGATAAGAAGGCTTAGAAATTGGAATTCAGTTGTCTTAAATGGATAAATAGTACATATGAGGAGTTGTGCCCACATAATTAAACTAACTTTGAAGGGAGGACTTAAAGAAATGCACGACTCCATTTCTAGTATCGTAATGGGTGAGTATGTTAAATCATCATGACAAAATTTAAAGATTATGTTCAACAAGAAAAAATTAAGGTAAAACACTTGTTTATTTGGATGTGGCAACCCGATGAAAGTCTACTTATTTAATTTTTTATTATGTTGAGGACCACAAACCATTGATGATTAGTAAAACATTACAGTATTTGTAAAGTTTTTGAAGGTCTTTTATGATGTCCCTACAAAGATAAGTGGTTCTTTATGTATGACTTCTAATTCTTATTTTAATGAACTTATAGGTATTTAAGAAATTTTAATTGAGTGGAGTACCAATGTGAACTTTATTTTAAGTAATATTAAGTGTGACAAATATTGGAGCTTAGTTGAAAGAATTAATAAATAATTGTAATGTTTTGGAACCGTGGAAAACATTGAGTTTAAATATAGAGTTTTATTATAAAAAAAAATAAATTGCACAAGATATTTTGGCTATTTGAATGTTGACGGTAGATTTTGAATCAACATTTAGTAGGGGTCCGAAGATTCTGGATTCTTTTAGAAGTTGTTCGACATCTAAATTTTGATATGTATGCAAAATTAGATGGATAGAAAATAAGTATTAGTATTGTTGGGTTTTATGTCCTAAAACTCATAGTTCGTAAACAAAAACATATTCTATTTTCAATAAAGTTATTATTATTGTTTATTTAGTAAAAATTGTTATTGAATAAAGTGAACTTTACGATTATTAATCTAAATCCAATAAACTAAAAACACTGACTATAGTATATGTAAAGACATAAGAGTGGATCAAGTTCAAGTATATAGTCAAAATAATCTATAGTACCAAGATAAGGCTGAGTACCTTATCCTGGGGACACTATGGATGCTACCCACTTTTGTATATGACATAAACAATGTGATCACTAAATTGTATATGCAGAGACATGTGAGTGGGGGCGTTCTATGCAATGAGTATTGCATAAGATCGAACCATGAAGAAAATCACTCTCACTTTATAATGTCGTTTACTGCTGAGATTGATTTTCTTTTCATTTGATGACCTAGGTAACTCGATCTTAATCCTGAGCTAACCATGAACTCTTGTTTATTCGGAATTATCCTTAAATTTTCATGGGTGAGAGTGTCTCAAGTTCGCCGACTCAATAGACCTCCTATTTCAGGGGTAAGACTGGGTGAATGGTTGGGGACGTGGGGTGCAAGATGGAATTCACTCCTACCCCACTTTTAAGGATAGAAGAGAGATAGTTTCCTTAATACTAACTCCAGGTCTTGAACAAGGGGCCCCACCCTCTCATTGGCTTGAGAGGGATTCGGTTTATTGGTTGGACCACAAACCAATTGTTCATTAGAGGATCAGTGAGACATAAGGAACAAGAAGTAACTTTAGGGGTAAAACGATAAATTGACTCAGCTCTAGTTATGAACAACTTGTGAAAGATCGACTTACTAATCATGGTTATATCAAATGGACAGAAATATATCTATAGTAAGGGGAGTACAACTACTAGGCTAGTACTTAACGAATGTTGGTTAACAAGGTTAATGAGTTTAACCGGTTAATCTTGGATCGTTGGAGCCCATGATCTATAGGTCCATTAGGTCCCTCTGCTAGCTCATATCGAACTAAACCATAGAACAGTGTGACGAGTGAGTTTGAAGTGTTCGAATTCAAATTAGGGAGAATGCATTACATATATACGATATATTTAACCGCATTTTTGTTTTATTTACGAATTAAACAAAAAGAGAGAATCTGAGATATTTAAATATGATTTAAATATCTTAATCAAATGTGTCGGAATTAATTGGGATTGACATTTGAATTAATATTAAATATTAATTAAATAGTTTAATTAATCATTTAATATTACTTTAATTTGAAATTAATAATTCAAATGGATGGTGACTTCATTTAATGGAAAAATCCATGTTAGTGGAATTTTGAGGCGCAAAATTTGGTTTAACCAAACTTGCATGCTTGCCAAATAAACCCCACAAATTTGAGTGTCAAAATTTGGTAATCTCAAATTTGCATGAACATGCAAATATGACTCTATAAATACAGTGATCATGGTACATAGAAGGTCTTCCAAGGGCAAATCCTTTTAAAAAAAATATCACAAACTCTCTCTTCATATATACTGAATCCCTTCCAAGTTTAGTCACTCACCGGATTCCACAATCTGGTTCTAAGGCTGGAGAATAGTGGAGAAGACACTAGTGGTAGTTCGAAACCGGTTAAAGAGGAAAAAAAAACTTGATAGACAAAAGGTTAGTATTCAAACTCATTTAGTTTTAATGTTTTTGAACATGCTAGCTAATTTACATTGATGTATTTAGCGTGCCTAAAATCTAAATTATTTATGCATGTGTTAATAAATTGAAGATTTTAGAGATTGTTCTAAGATTTGATTCATATTTTTCTACCTTTTTCAAATGATCTAAGACCTTTCATATAAGGATGACGACTCAGCCAACCACCCACGAAATTTTCTGAACGTCCCTCATACAGCAGTTGTTTCACAAAGCCACGTGCAAGTTGAGAAAGAGTGATATGTAGAGAAAGAGGGAGCTTCCTCGGAGTACAACGTCGGCGACGCTTCAATTTGGTTTACATGCTTAACAGAGGACGAGAAGTGCTGCAAAAGTAACCATCGATGACCTCAAGTACACAGAAGGTAAACCACTCTTATTTTGTATTACCGTCGCGTTGTTTATTCATTGCTGGCGAGATTCGGATTGTTGAAAGTTAGGATGTAAACGAATCTGCGCTTGTAGGTGCACTTGAGGTCTTTGGACGCCATGAAAGTGGAAGAGAAGCCAAGAGGAAGGTCTCGAAAGTCGTAATTCGAACAGAGGACCAATGAAAACTAGCGTCGGAGAACGTCAAGAAGAGAGAAAATGAATGAGAAATCGTGAGGTATGAACGTATACATTTTTTTTTTTTTTTTGTAACCGCGAGTCGCCGAAATTCTCGGGGATGGGTTTAGTTAATATAATTTTTTTTTTTTGTAATGGTTACCTTACCTGTGTAACAAAAGGAACAAATATAAAAGAATACGTAGAACCTAAGTCAAATATAGTGAATTCATAATATCCTAGGAGTGATAGTGTATCTGTCACCACTATGTCAGACCTCCCATATCTCTGTTTGTCAACGCATAAGCCCTAGCTTGAGAATGATTCTACACAGGTTCATTAGCCTAGGTGGATTCTTAGTATTCTTAGTCATGTAGTTGATGGGAATGTGACGCTCTTGGTCACACTGAAAACAATCTCTTGTGCATCTTCCCTCGTGTAGCTTTCCATGTATCGGGCACCCTATCTCTCCCCTTCCTCTGGCCCCATCTTGGTTCCTGGGTTGTCTTTCAGTACGTCGCGGAGCGTACCTCTCAACATGTTTAAGGGGAGGGCGGTTGACATAATGAAGTCAAAGCACTGGTGGCTAATGGTCTGAGTTCTTCAAGTGATATGACTGTTTGCGTCTCACTGTAACTATTTGCTCTCGGCGCACCTAATCTTTAGGCTAGTGTTTCGATTTAAAGTCCGTATGTACAATGTTGTAGGCTCATTTTCTTCCAAATTAAAAGTTTTGGTTTTCTTTCTTTTAAGGAAATGGTTTTTTTTTAAGTTGTTAAAATAATTTTAAGAATATTTTTTATTTTAAAAATTAAGGAAATGGGTTTTTTTTTTTAAAAAAAAAAGTACAAAAATTAAAGTTTAAATATATTTTTATTAATTTAAAATCAACAAATCCAAAGAAATTATAAAAATAATAATGAGCTTATCTAAATTCCAATAATGATTCAAAAAAGACAAACATAAAAGTGTGGATAAATGGTTTGGAATGGAAAGGTGGAGAAACGACATACACAAAGAAAGTGATCATACATAAATCAATTTAAAATTATCAAATAACTATATCACCTTTAAATGAAATTATTTATTTTCAAATTCCTACCTCATTATAGTAATAAAAAAATATTACACAAATTTTCTTTCCAAAAAAAGTTGAAAATGGCAAATAGCTGAATAAATAAAAATTCTTCTTTTTTGGTACCCAAAAATAGATCTTAAAAAAAAAAAAAAAAACATAGCCTATAGCTCGAAAGATTAGAGCACGTTGATTAAAGATTTCTCTATGAACAATACGAAACAGAAGCTGGGAGAACGAGTTTACCGTGTTTGAATCCATGGGAATAGGAAAACGAGCCGCATGAATATATTTAGTAATAAATTATAGTTTACATATATATTATATTTAATATTTTATTATAGGGCAAATATCTAGATATTTGTATTATTACCTTAGTATCTTTCCCTTTATTGCTATTTCCGTTTATGACTCTTTACATATGCTTATAATTTGTTTGATTATAAATAAAAATAACTTTCCTACTCGGTTGAGGTGAAGTAAGCCAACATTCTCAAATCGAATATAACAAAAATGAAAAGAAAGAATGGATGAATATGGATAAGATTGTAAAAGGCCACACAACCATGTTGAATGAATAATAGGAAATTTGGGTTCTTCAAGTTCCCATTATTGTCCTTTTAGTTTTAAATGCTTCATTAAATGGATTGGAAACCTATCTCTTTAATCAATTAGTTCAGTTTTTTTTTTTTCTTAATTTAATGACAAAAATATCTTCAAATTTAGGGTAGATTTTGCTTGGTGTGACCCGAGTATATCAGTGAGAAATAATATACCAAATGGAACGAAGCGTTTTGAGTAAAACCAAAAGTAATGGCATAAGTGCACATTTTTAAAGTGATGATAATATATCAATGTAGAGACACGGGATTATACCAAAAACGGTTGAACTTAAAAGAAAGTGAAAATCAATTTTGAGTGATCAAATGCAACGACCCTAATTGTCCGTTAATATATATATATATTTCATAAACAATGTCATGGGCTTATACGTTCATAATAAAGTCATTAAAACAATATGGAAGAAAATAAATAATGTGAATTTTAAATAAAATAAAGTATGGTCCTTATCTAACATAAGGGCTAAAAAGATAATCTAAATTGCATTACTCTTGTTTTGGTCTCATGATCATCACCGAGTATTTCAATATGGTAGAACCTATCCTTTCATAAAATATTATGGCATGACCTTGGGATTCCTTCCTAGTGTGGGCAAATTTGATGTATAGGACTTCCCTATGCATGGCTAACACACACACATAAGTCCACCAAGCGGGCTTGTACACATACCCCTTGGGTCTCGCTCATCGAGCTAACACACGTTTAGCAAGGGACACGTTTGTACTAATCATAACAAGAAAATATCTCGATGACTATGACACACATTAATGCATGAGATCCCCATAGCTTAAAATCGTAACATAACAAGCCTATGAAACATGCATATGTAATTCTTCTCATATCTTTCATACTTGTATGATCATCATAAACATGATTCCACGACATAGCATAACATATTATAACATAACATAATGCATACCAAACAAGTACGAATCAACCTATATAGACCCACACTAAGTTGAAATATGTTAAAGGGTTTAGTCTAACTAATGGTCTTAAATAATTTTCTAATTTAGTTTAACCATCGAAGCGGTGAAACAATGGTTATACTCACCTCAAGGGCCTTCGATAACATAAAAGACAGCTACATAATTATTCAAAATGGAAAGATAGAGTTAAAAGTTTGAATCAGGTAGTGGGTCGGGTCACTGGATTGGGTTGGTATAGGTCTAGAAGTTGGGTAACTGGCGACCGATTGGGTCATGAGCATGCTACTTGGGCAGTCCTGACAATTGCAATATGGTTTGAAGTGGTCTGAGCCGTGGGCATCGTTGGTATGGGTTAGACAGCGGAAGATAGTGCAGGTTCGAAAGGAAGAGTGAGATGGAAAACTAATTTTTGTATTATTTATTAACACTCAGTCACTCCATTATAAACCTAGAGTGACAGACTTAGCTGTGTCAATGGACATAACCTTTACATGCAAGTTAACTACAATTGAATCAAAAGTTGTTTATGATTCGATCATAAATTGAATTCTCCTTAAGCTAATGAGAGGGTGAGGCTCCAGCCGTTAGTTAAGTCTCAAATGATAGGCTTATTGTATTGACTATAAAAATCATCTCACCCGCACAAATCAAACGAGTACTCATAGATAGAATTTCTTAACTCACTCAAAGTTAAAATTGAGTCACATATGATCATGTGAAATATTAATCTTCTCAATTAATGAGTTTATGAAAAGAGATTAAAAATTTCACGGTCCAATCTTATACGAACTTATTGTACATGACATCTCACTCACATGTCTCTACATGAATGATTTCGATCAAATTATTTGTAACTATTACAAAGTAGGTTGTATTAGTCGTGTTACCAAAATAAGATACCTAATCTTATGTATATATAATAAGCTCCTAGTTTATTTCTTGAACATGAACCTCTAATATATCAACGACATAATGTTCAAGATTACATGAATAACCTTGAATCTTTTAGGTAACGGATAACTGATAACTCTTATTTACAACAGTAATTTGTAGTAAAAGTAGTTTGATTCTAAGCGCAAAATACATTTCAAATTTTTAATTATTTCCTATTTATTTCATCGCAAGGTTGCTTAGAACAACTAAATAATACACAGTTATATGGATCATTATTTTTCTCTCTTAACCCATTGGTATGTTTGAAGTTTTAGTCTTGTGAATGTCGTTCGGCAAAATCACAAATTTGAGGAAGCAATATGGACAAAAAGGAAAAAAATGAGAGTTATATATAGTTCTTTTAAGACTGATCATCTCTAAGGATGGAAATTTTTAAGGTGAGAAGAATGTACTACCTTGTACCTTATAAGATATTTTAATAGTTTATTTTGTTCGACTAATGATGTAATTTTGTTGAAGTAAATATTGGTTCTAACTCTCTCAACAAAAAAAATTACCACCCATCCCCAGAGGTCTGAACCCTAGCTACCACCCCATCGACGTCATCACCTATACAATGCATGCAATCGACCCATCGCGAATAGAGTGATTGCAGATTCGCCATGATCAGTTGGCTTTTGGCTCATGACCAATGTGCATACAACCGTGCTAGAATGGACTTCGATAGCCACTTGTGGGTTAGAACACGTAAATAGGTTGGACCGCCCCATTTTTGTTTAAGGACCATTGGTAACAACTTAATCTAAACTCTTATGAACTCGATACCACTCCTAATTACTTTTGCAAATATCTATTAAACAAACAATGGTTGTCACGTAATTTTGTGGGTTTTGATGTAAACATTGAAAGGTTAGGTTAGGTTGATGCATCAAATCAAAACTTCTTTCCCTTTCATATCCTCTTATGGACCCACTTTCATTCTAATAAATAACATAAAAGGTGGGCTCTCTTTCTAAATCCATAATAATAATTTAGTTAGTTTTATTGCTTATGTTCTATTTAAGTTAAAATATTATGTCATGTGAATTGATATAAGTAAGAATTGAGTGTTGGAATCATAGTTTATAAGCAACTACTAAGTATTGAGTAACATCTACCAAGGTCAACCCAATAAGTGACCTTACTATCGATATGGTTAGAAATTGATGATTTGTAAAATAACACGTACTCTGTGGTTCTGCACGTGTCATATGCTTGATATGTGTGATATGTTTATGAAACAATAAGACTATGATATACTTCTGAAGCGATATGATTATGATATGTTTATAAAATGCTATGACTATGATATGTTTATGGAATAATATGATTATGATAGGACTACGATATGTTCATGAATGATATGAATATGATATGTTTAAGAAATGATATGATTAGATATGGTTATGATATGATATGTGCGCTATGTTTATGAAATGACATGGCTAAGATATGTTATGAAATGATAAGACTATGAAATGTCGGTGATATGTTATGTTAATGTTATGATATGTGTTATGAGGTGATGTGCTGATGATACAATATATGTTGTGGTGTAAGTATAATACGTGCATGATAGAATATGATATTCGAAGGATATGTTATGTACATAATATGACATAAGACCATGTATGTTATGAATGATACGAGATTCAACCTCGATACATGTCTTAAAGGCTATGTTGAAAAATGATATGATATCAAGAAAACGAAAGGGGGTTGTTTTACATGATAATGAAGTTAAATGTTGGGACCTTATGCATCATTGTGTGTTCCTACATCGGAGAATATTCCCTCATTATGATGGTACAGATGCATACGTTACGAGGCAGGAAAACGATCATTATGTTTATCATAATGTTGTGACGGTCGCTATACCTAATGGGTGTCTGGCATCAACAGCTTCAGAGAATGCTCGTCCGACCAAGAAAGGATCCCAGGAGGTGTGTGAACTGACTGGTGGGCTTATACTCACACGTGTGTGCCGTGTGTAGAACAATAAATACACATCCAATTACCCGTTTAAGATAGTCGCCTAAGGGACTATAGATCGAAAGGATAGACCCCATTCATGGTTGTATGTAAACCATTGTACATGCATCTAACACCACTAGTGCGGTCATTTACTGATTATTTCTTAAAATA